ACATATTTAATATACCCAGTAGGTCCAATATACCTATATATTTTTACCTCTATGTGAAATCAATATAATCAATGGAGATGATTTACATTCTTTTCTTTATATTTCATAAGTCTCCCAAAGTCATTGAAATCTGGTCTGTATTTCGTATTTGTAGCTCATCTCCAACTTTGTCCACATTTTAAATGCTCAGTAGCTGCATCTGGCCAGTGACTACTGAACTGAACATGCAGCTTCAGAGCTGTGTGATGGTAATAATAATAGTTACAGTGTTAACAATAAAAGTAGGGCTGGGGATGTAGCTCAGCGGCACAGCGCCTGCCTGGCAAGTGCAAGGTTGTGAGTTTGATTCCCGGTACTGGAGAAAAACCAAAACCAAACAAACAAACAATAAAAGTAACGCTGAGAATCTATTTGGAAGCCATCACTCTAAGCTTTTTATATGTATTAGCTCACTTAATCCTCACACCACCACAGGAAATGAGAATTATTATTATCGCATTCTACAGAAGATGAAACTGAATGCCAGAGAGAGCAACCCATTTCCCCAAAGTTACTTCCCGGATGTTTCCAAAGATCATGCTGCTAGCTATTCTGGGATCCTGCCCGGGGCCTGCCTCCTATGGCTCTACCCAGTGTGATCGTGAGAAGCAGCAGTGAAGCAGCCCTGCACCGCTGGGCAGTTTGTACTCTGTGTGCCTGTCTATCTGCTGAGATAAATCTGATAAGGTGGAGTTATGAGCCCCTCAGGCCCAGGAAGTGATCAGTGTGCTTCTCAGCTGAGCACATTTCCAAGATTCCTTCATCTCCCCAATCCTGCTGCAGCAATTGACAAACATTTCACAAAGAGGCACCGGTCAAGGGCACGGACACGGTGAAACCGTGTGAGCCCTTTGCAAGTTTACGGCCCAGATTTTCCCAGAGAATGATGCAATGGAAGCTGGAACGCAAATGTTTCCTGCTGAATCATAAACTGTTAAACCTGTTTATCCTGTTTCTAAAAGTATGATTGAACTCGAATTTTCTACATCAAGACAAAGTTTAGATCACTTTTTGACAAGTGGCTTAGACCTGCTGATTTCCGCTATGGAATGAGGCACTTTTTATGTGGTAAAGTTAGTATATTAGAAACAGCCCAAATATAGATGCTTCCTCTTCCCCCAGAAAGGCTTCTACTTTCCTTACCTCAAACTGACTGGACAGGGATAATAAGGAGCAGAAGTTTAGAGAAGACGTAAGATGAGGGATGAGATGAGGGATGTGTGTACAGCTCAGGGCAGAGTACTTGCCTAGCATGCAAGAGGTCCTGGGTTCAATTTGCAGTACTAAGAAACAAATGAGCGAACAAAATCATGCTGCACTCTGTGACTCCCAAGGGATTGTAGCGTGCTATCCACTTTTCCGTTTTCTCTAAGTAGAGGTTTGAAGACAAACTCTACAGGGTACATACAGAAGTGCGGCTTTTGATCTCAGAGGACTAAGCATCTATCTCCACTAACTTCAGAGCAAATGAATCAGCAGACCTCCGGGGGTAAGGAGCAGCTGAGGCAAGCACACGCTGAGCGCAGGCCCAGTTCTGGGAGCTGGAATTAGGTGGAAAGTGCAAAGAGGGTCAGGAAAACACGAATCCTATACCTGCTGCGGGTGGGGATGACGATGGGAAGCGGGCTGCCCCTGAGCCCTGGGAGGCAGAGGGGGGCCAGCTAGACCGGAAGTGGATATTCTCAGTCTGTGGATGGGACCTTTGCTCGCCAGTGTTCAGGCCGACCCCAAGCAGCTTAGATAACTGACCCTCTGCAGGGGTTTGCAGCGAAGTCAAGCCCAGCTGGGAGGCTTGGGAAGAGGCCCAGCATGGGGAGAAAGAGATCGGTGAAGATTTCGGAGTACTAATCTCTTCGCCCACGAAGTTAAGTGTTTACCTTTGCCCCTCGTCTCCCATCAGAAGGTTGGATGATTCTTCCGCGGAAAAGCCAAAAGAGACTAGTAGGAGCTCCAGACTAACCACTGGCTCACTAATTACCCCTGCTGCCCTCTCGGACAGAGCTTTGATGGCGCAGGAGGGCCTCGAAGTTACAGATAGTCCTCAAAAGCCTTCTGCGAAGTCTCCAACGTGACAGGCAAAGAACAAAACAAACAGAAACAAAGCATGATGTGATGCATGCCTGTAATCCCAGCATTTGGGAGGCTGAGGCAGAAGGATCGCTGTGAATTCAAGACCAGCCTAAACTGCATAGTGAGACCCTGTCTTGCCCAAACGGTAAAATAAATAAAAATATAATTCAACCATTTCAGGCCCTGGTTAAACATGCTCAATGTCTTCTTGGGTTGTTTTG